TTGTCTGAGTACAAGGTTTTATTTTTTCAATTTTGCACCCTGTTTTGTCCCACTTCTCAAGAATGACTGATTGATTTAAATAATTTGAAAGCGTATAAACAGAACAAATACTTTTAAAGACAGTTATAGAAAAAAATAAAAAATAGGTTTAGAAGAATCTACAGAATGAAAAACAAATCAGTTGCTCAATAGGAACGTCAGTCAGTTTCAACATGGGTTCTCACCAATGTGACTACTAACATGTTTTACATGTATTTACTAGTGATCTCGTCTATGATATTGAGTTCAATTGATTTGATTTAATTTATTAATGATTTAAATATAATTTTCAGTAGGAACACTGTAATTAAACAGCTCTGGTCATAGGCTAGCCGTGTAAAATGTTCACATGAAATCAAAACAGTCACGTTTACACATAGCTGACAACTCTGTGTAAAATACATAAACGTTTTTAGTCCCTTTAAAGTCAAAAGTACCTTTTGTATGCAAATGCTTTAATAACAGTACTGTCTGGTAAATGATATTTATTAGTTATTGTTATTTATCCTGTGTTAATTTATGTAAGTAGGCCCATGTTATGTTCATAAGTAGGTAGATTTGACAATGACCATTCATTCTCTCTGAGTATTTTCATATGCAATGGTCTGATGGTGTCCTCAAACATATGGCAGGTTGCTTTTACTAATTCTCCTTCATCTGTTGCAATGCAAGCTTGATCCGCTCCATCCTCTTTCATCTTTAACATAAAGACGCTATAAGATGAGTGTGCATCATTAGTGCCACAGAAAGTCGCCCCCAGTCTGGACAGCCTGGCCTCCATTTTTCAATTAAAGTTGCTTTACAATCAAATAGCCCAGCACAGTTAGGAAAAGGCTGCATTGATTAGTGTACAAATTAACACAAGAAAGAAATCATTCTCCCTCCATAAGCTAATTTGCCATCCTCGGTTCTCCTTAATAAGTCCCTCCGACTGACTTTTTATTCACAGACCCTCCACTGCCTCAGTAAATCCTGTAGATTTAATAACCATAATTGCAATAAATTCGGTAAACATTTAGATTGAATGCAATAACTGTGTCATTTACTCCAGTAGGTTGCTTTAAACATAATTTAATAAAAGGGCAAAGGACCCTCCACATAGGCTAGTCACTAATCCTTGGTGATCCATGCGTACACATTAGGCTGAAGCATCTCGGGACGAAAATAGACAACGATTGATCTAGATTTCCTAGAAAATATCTGATCGCCATGGCTTGTTGTTTAGAGAGACTTCACTTGGTGGAGCCTAATTATGTTTGTATTGCTACTCCATCTCCGGTCATTTGTGTTGGGTCCACTGGGTCTTAACATAGGCCTATTATCATTCAAAGCCTTAAAGGTGTACCACATTTATCTGTTTAGTTCTTTGTCTTAGAGGTGAGCTAGGCAGTTGCGTCATGTTTTTGTGTTCAGAATTTTAACACAAAAACAATATATTACATATAAACTGCCAGTTTAACCAGATGTTAAATGCACTGATATTTACATTTACATTTAGACATAGTATATATACATGATATAGCACTTTAAAAAAATAGTTTACCCTAAAATTAAAATTCTGTAAATATTTACTCAGCTTAATGTTGTTCCAAACCTGAATGACTTTCTTTCTTCTGTGAAATACAAAATAATATGTTTTAAAACTAAATGAGGTCCAGGCAAAATTGGACCCCGTTGACATTCATTGTGAGAAGTCGTTTTTCATATTATCTTCTTTTGTGTTGTACAGAACACATGAGAGTGAATAAATGTTGACAGAATATTCATTCACTATCCCTTTAAATAGCATTTAAATTATATCTCTTTTTTTTATCAGGGCAACCATGCATCCTTTCTATGTAAATTAGCAAATTATAGTGCAGTGTAGACAAGCACATTTTTTGCCATTTAAACAGCTGTTTCAGGTGTCTTTATTTTAATTTAGTGAATGCATTTGCATATTTACCTGATTTGCGTAATTCCTTTAGTGAATCATGCTCTAAAACAACACAGACAGCAAGTGCAAATAAATAACATTGCCATTCTTTTGCACAATTCATTTTTAGTAAATTCCCACCATAATGCATTAAGCTTTGTAGATAAATATCCTAATGTTTTTGCATATCTAACGGAAAACATTTTAAACAGCATTCTGTAATGCACATCTCTATAAATGTACAAGACAACACTAAATAGAGAAGAGGCCATAACTATTGCAAGCGCTACCTCATTTCCAGAGATTTGCTGGTGGCATTTACGCAGTGAAAAGTTTACTCCCACTCTTTAATGTGAGAATGAAGATCACTCATCTTTATATACAACCGCCACTAAAACCATTTCATCTGAAACAGTTCAGAACATAATGTCAGCCCACTCCATATATCTGAAGCTCATTACAGGGGAAAAAAGGTTTGCAGTAATTAATTACCCTGCTAATTGGGCCCTCAGCAGTATTATTGTCTGTGTCTGTGCAGCTTATTTAGTGTACAAACGAGACCTGCCGCGTGATTGTTTCTCTGGCTTTAGGAGGCTCATACGCTCGGCTATTAGCACAATGACTGTCATTCAGTTTACTGACACTGAGAGTTCAGTCTGGTACTGAAAAGCCTATATGAGAGAGTTTATTTTGATATATTTATATCTTTCTATCTCTCACTCTGTCTTTGATTCCACCTGTGCATATGTGTGTGGGTCTGTGTTGTGTCTTTGTCTGCCAAACCTATTTTTTAATAATGTACTTCAGAAGCTGTGCTCTTATTGCCAGCTAGTTACGTCAAGCAAAAAAGCAAAAGCTTGGAAACACAACAAGAGTCTTAATATATTTATAGATTGTTTTAATATGAAAATAAAATTAGATGCTCAAGTCTTTATGGATGCTCTGGTGATAATAAATGTACACCTTGTCAACAGCTCAAAGTGTTCTGCATTTTCTTTCTGTGTTTTAGTCTTTATTTATTCCCAGTACTGTGTGTTAGTGGGATGTGTGAGCTGTTTCGTTTTTTCTATAAAAATAAACTATTGTAACTATTGTAATTGTATGTGTAAATGTAACTTTTATTTGTTTCACACAGCAAGGATGGCAGATCTTAAGAACATTTCTTGTGGTAAAGCAGAGTTGCAGCCTGAAGCCATAACTGATATTGGTGTGCTGGCATCCAAGAAAGAACCTCCAGCAGGCTACTATATTGTGAGTTTGCAATTGCCGAATATGTGTGTGATTTGGAACCGTAAATCTATAAATAAGAATATAATAGGCAGTCATTAATCCAGTTACATGTACACTAAAAAAATGTGATAAAAAAAGAACATACAATGTAATCTAAAAATCCAATAACAACTGAATATAATAAGGAGAAAAATAAGTATTTAACTAAAATAAAATCAAATGTAATGTGTCATTCAGGAGCATCTGGGAATGTCTTTACAGTTCCATTACCGTATTTTTTACTTACAAAAAATAATTTTAACAGTGCTGCAATGTTACATGAATTTTCTTTTTAAAAGTAATATAAATATTCACTATAAATTAAATTGTCATTTGTATTTTTGTACTGTATACTACAGTAAAACTACATTAATTGTCTATTAAATGTTAAAAAAAGGTTAAGTACCATTTTTAAATAAAAAATTACAAATATTTTTTTTTACAGTAAATCATAACAACAATATCAGAAAACATACAGTTTTACTGTTTTTATCTACAAATCACAAGGTAATTCACACATTTTACATTTATAATAATTTTGCAATAACATTTCATGTATTTGCTTGTTAATTGTAATATTTTTTTTTACCGTAACATTTTACCATATCATGATATTTAACATTTCCTACAGTGATGATTTGTACATTTTTAGGGTTAGTACACAAACTTATGTCATATATTTTATTTTGAAACTTGGTTGTGTTTTCAGACTTCTTTTGTGTTCAGGCGTGGACTGTATTGTCATTGGTTCATTTATCTGGTTAAATCCGTAGATTAGTTTTGTTCTGTGATTGGTTCTCATTTGTTTCTCTTGCCTCCTAGTTTGTTTGCCCTTTAGCTTTAGTGTATTCAAGCTTCAAGTTTCTCTTATCCTATATCAAACATTGTTCAGTGATGAGGTATTGATTGGTAAGTTCTTGTTTTTTGTAGTTAATATCTATTCATGTTGTAGAAATAAATCTGCATTTGGTTTCAGTTTCCAACTTGCTGGAGACTTGTTATACATTGTAAAATTGCAGTTTTACTCAAAATTGAACATTTAAAAAGTAAATTATGTTTTTATTTTCTTTATCTTCCCAAAAGGCAGTAACTTAATTTATTGATAAGGTTTGGTTTTATCTCTGCTCTTCCTCTGGCCGGCTAAAAGCCGTGAATCCTTCGGCCTACCCTGAGGATAGATTTGAACAACTCTTTCAGATGAGGCCTCCAATAGAGTTTGGCACCAGTGCCCTGTGTTTGTTTAGGACTCAGATGGCACCGACACAAGGGTGGGTGCGCTTCTGCAACTCTCAGCAATCCCAGAGCGCTGAGAGGGGAAACTAGGACAGTATCAATGGCCTCTAGGAAAATGTTTTGTGTGTGTGTGTATCTGTTGTGTATGTGGGTGTGCCTCAAAAACACTGAGAAAAGAAACAGGGCGGAAAGAGAGAGGGAAAGTTTTGTGAATAAAACAAAGCACAAAGCAAACACTGTATAAAATAACTCTGTGTTAAGCTTACGGGCAGCTAGAGTTCTTCCTCTCCGCTTTCCTCTTCTCCCTCCGTATTCTTTCTTCTCTCTCTCTCACTTCCCGCCCCACCCTAGTTTTAGTAAAAGGAAAACTTGAAATCGCATCATATGACCCCTTTAACAAACTTTAAATGACTAAATAAAAAAATTCATCTTTCAACTAGCTTTTAGTAGCTAGTTTTAGCAAGTATTCATTTTAAATTATTAACAGCTTCTGTCAATCCATGTCTCACTTTGATTGCACAAATGAACGTTTATTAAATTGATGTACAACCAAATATAAACTAAATTACATAATGTTAGTTTTTTAGCTGCTAGTTCTAGCAAGTGTCTTGAACTCTGATTATCAACAGCTTTCAATAATACTTATCTGTTTTTTTCACAGCCAAATATAATCAAACACTCATAGCTATTTGTTTTTGCAGTAGCTTGTTTGAGCAAATCCTGAAATTTTGACTTGGATGCAACCGTTTCACTTTGTTTGTTAAAACAAACATGTTTATTTATCAACAACCTTTACGTAACCAAATATGTATTTTTTTAAGTAGCTTATTTTATCAGGACTTTAAAGCTTTGTCTTTTAAACTCTGATCTATAGTTTTTTTACAGCACTTGTCTAACCAGCAGGATGAAATTATGTTGTTTTGTATTTGCACAAAGCTGAAAGATTTGTTTGTTTTTAAGAGCTAGTTTCAGCAAGTGTTTTGAAGTTTTTTTGATTATCATTCATTCTTTTGCAAACAAAAAAAAGTCCAAATTTATTTGTTGTCATTAACAACCTTTACTCAGCTAAATACAAACAAAAATTGTAGTTAGTTTTAGCTAGAATTCTGAACTTTATCAACAATCTCAAAACAGATGCAGCCAGTAAAGGCACTGGAGACTTATACTTAAGTGTCACTTAATTAAGTGTGAAGAGTTTTCTTCATACTTCTCATTTTACTAGTCCCAGTGCTTAGCAACTGTTTCCAAATTCAGGCTGCGTTGCCTGCTCTGGTTGCGTGGTGGCATACAGACTCCTTTGGTGCCTGGTTCCTCCCTGTTTGACTTTGGGCTTCACAGCTCCGGCTCTTTGTCTACGCTGACAAGAGGAGCGGGGCACTGACCTGGAAAAAGTGGCCAGGACGGGTTGTCTTGTAAAGGGAGGAGGGAGCCGGAGAAGGAGGGGAGGATATTGTGGTTGATGTATAGACTCCTCCTGAGAGCTTTCGTCCTAGCCAACGTCTGCTGAGGCTGTAGCTCATCCAGACTCTTGCTGTCTCTGTCCACCACACTGTTTTCCTCGATGTCCGTTTTCCTGTCAGGTTGTCTGTCTTTTCTGAAAGTTTAATGTATGCCTGTCAAGACCTCACAAAAGATCACTTCAGAGTTGTGCGTCATTCAAAACTGAATTTAAAATGGCAATTTAAAGGAACAGTTCACCCAAAAATGAAAATTTGCTGAAAATGTTCTCACCCTCAGGCCATCCAAGATGTAGATGAGTTTGTTTCTTTATCGGAACAGATTTGGAGAAATTTTGCATTACTGCCTTTGTAAGAAACAAATCCAAAACAAAGCAAGTTGTGTAGTGCTTAATTTCTCCAAATCTGTTCCGGTGAAGAAACAAACTCATCTACATCCTGAATGGCCCGAAGGTAAGTACATTTTCAGCAAATGTTAATTTTTTTGGTGAACTATTCCATTAATTCCAGTTTGGTTTCTGAATTAAAGTTGAATTGAGATAAACAGGATGCAGAATTGTAATTAAAATACGACTTGTATAACTGCTATATGTGTATTTTTTTTAATAATACATTAGATTTTTCAGAATAAATTAAACGTTATCATAATCATACACATAACATTTTTCAAAGAAATTTTATTTAGTTTATTTAAGTTTTGATATTTTGTAATTTATAGTTTTTAATATTTATTTTAAGGAATCAAAAAATAAAGGCAATGATGTATGCATTTTTAAATAAATGAAGCATGTACAGAGCAGATCACTTTATTATATTATATTATATTATATTATATTATATTATATTATATAAATAGCTAAAATCATGTTTTGCTAATGAAATTTCTGTTGTGTGATTGCTGAATTTCAATTCAGTCAATTCCACTTCTTGACATTTTAATAATTATTATAATTTATTAAAATTATTATAATAATATTTTTATAATTTAACATCTGAAGGCAAATTTTTAAATAGTGATTGCATCAGTACAATTGTTTTAACTATTTCAGAAAGGCAGCTTGATCTCTACAGAACACAAGTCCCATTTAGCTTGTTCAAGGCCTTCTTTGTGAGGCATTGTCTCATCCTTGTTGTCCCATGGGGGGCCGGTGGTATTTTTACCCTTTTTGGAGGCTGAAGATTCTTCTCCACTTGTGTAGGGCTCTAATGAGATGGAGTGAGAGCTCCAGCAAGCCTTAATTAAGCCAAGTATGCACAGAGCAAGGCAAAAATGGAAACACGCACACCGTCCATCCATACATTAACTGGATCTCACTGCAATACACATTCTCCTCTCTGTGTATTTTTTTTTTCTTTTCACGTAGGTTGCACAAACAACAGATGGCTTCGACGCCAACCTGTGGAAGGACAGCATATTCAAATCCAAGGTCACACGCTATCTCTGCTTCACCCGAGCTGCCACCTCCAAAAATGTAAGTGAAAACGTGTACGTTTTAACATGCTCATTGCAAGTTTTTCTCCAGTTTCTTCACACGCCGTTAGGGTGCGTTTGCCCCGTTTGCTTCAGTCCGTCCCTCATTAGGGTTCTGCTCAGATCTTTGATCACAAACTCCTTCAAAATATGTTCCATCCTTTAAAGTGAAGTATCAAAACCGAATGCAAATACTACTCTGAATATAGAATGGTTTGATAATTTTTTTTCCCACTTGATGTATGAAGTCCCAGCATGCTTGCATTTGAAAATTTGTTGATGATCTCCAGTTCTCCCGAAGGAATTTGGTTTATGATTATTCATAAACGCAACTCTGCGCGTTAGTAGTTTATGATTTCATTTGGCTCAATTAACCTGGTCCCTGTAGACAGTTTGGATACCTCCCAGCCATTCATCAAAGATGAAGAAAACATCCAAAAAATGTCAAAATTTGGTTATGGGATTCTTACTTATGAAATATGACACATCAAACAGCCATCCAATATGCCTGCTAAAGGAGCACCTATATTTTAAAAGATTCCTTTGTGAATTGAAACTATTTGAACATTTACCTCTCATTTGGCTGAGCTAAATTGAGAATGAGCACCTTTTTATGTGCATGTATCTGTCTTGAAAGTGAAACAGGTGGTCCAGTCATGTTGTTCAGGTTATCAGTCTTCATTTAACGTGAACAATGCAAAGCTTGAGCTGCCCTACCTTTATTATTCCTCCATTTGCTGTGTAAGCAAAGGCAACGAATAACATATGTATTTTTGGAAAACATTCTATACTTGTTCTCAGTCTAGGAATAAAGTTCCTAAAAATATGTATTTATTTAAATGGCCCTTGTGTTTATAATTGAGTCTAGCCTGCTGACGGGTTGCTTGTATAGGGTTTGTGAGGATGGTGAAAATAGGCTGTGGCTGGTCCGCTTGTTTGGGTGGGTCATTGTTATTCAGTGTTACATCTCACCAGTGCATCTGCCTTTTTTCTTTTATATGTGCTGTTGCAACAAAACGCAATTTACTGATTAATTAATGAATATTTTTTAATACGTTTTTATTTAAAAAAATCAAAATCTAATGATTTTCTCTATAAATGTTTTCTTTCACCTTTATTAATGGTTATAGCTGACTTTTATATTTTAGAAATCATCATATTGTAGCATCAAAATGTTTGAAAACCCCTATTCTGTAGACTAATAAATGTCATGATAAATGTGGTATATTTCATGCCACATTCAAGGTCGCTCAATTCTCTATATCACACGTGTGGTTAAACATTCAAGACCCTTATCACATGGTAAATCATTAATTTCACGTTAACCTTTGGTCTAAAAAAATGTTTCTCTCTGCAGGAAAATTTTGTTTCTCTTTAAATCATGTAAATGTCTCATATGTTTACTGATACAGATTGTTGGACAAACCAGTAATTTTGGGCAATATTGAGGATCATTGGCCATAACCAGATTCAGTTAGTCATTTTCGGTTAGTTATTAATTTGAAAAATGCTGTGTGGCCCTTCTTAAAATCTAAATTTACCCTATTTACTTTCTTAATGCATGATTGTAGTGTTGTTCCACTGAAAAAAAAATGGTATTCAAACAGTTTTCACTTAAAAATTGCTAGTAAATTTCACAAGCAATTACAAAGAAACAGCAAGTAACACATTGAATTCAACATGAAATTTTCAATGTACTGCAGTAATCTTTATTTTATTTATTATCATTTTTTACAGTGGGTGAAAGATTCATTAGTGCATGTTATTTGACTATATAACCTTTAATCCAAATGCAAAGACTTCTTCCTCTCAAACAACTTTCCTTTCCTGCTGATGTCACTTAGGCCACGTGGGCTATTGGTTGGTGTTAACCAACTGTCAGGTTGTCATTTCTGAATTAAAACATTGTATAAAATCAAGGACATTATATATAAACAAGCTCTTCTGTAGAAAGAAAAAAAAACTTTAGAATATAGAAAGGAATCAAACTGTAAAGTTCGAAGTGGAGATTTCTGATGTCTGTGCATAGGAAAATTTTGAGAAAATGGCCATTAAAGGTATGTATTGTAATTGAAATCTACATGTGCACATAGGTAAAGTGCAATAATATAAACAATTTAAAGTGTACTTTGGATTTTTTTATTTTTTTTATTTCACAACACATGATGAAAAGCCAAATAGCCCAAAATCTCAAAATTGACCTGTGACCAGAAAAAAAAACAATGTTTTTGTCTGTCACAATGCTGTATTTTTATCATAGCTGTAAAACTACATCTCCTAAGCCCTATAATGGCTATGAGATTCAAAGATGACGTTGTAATCCGCTGTGGCTGGTTTACCCTGGCCATTTCCAGCACGCTTCTGCCTGTTGATCAAGTTCAATGAGAGCTGCAGTTTTAGTATGTAGCACATCATTCCCCTCTGCCACCTCTCCAGCGTGGAGTCTTAAAATGTGTGTCTACACTGTTTTGAAGTCCCTGACGCTAATAAAACATGGCAGCGCCATCAACAAAGGCTATTTTGTCTGTCAGTCAAAGTGGCCCCCACTGTAATTGTCTATGACAAAAACAGATTCTACAGAATTAGCCAGTGAATTATGTGGTGGGAAGTAAACAGTTTGTGATTTATCATACTCAGGGTTGGAGGTAGATAGCCCTTTGTCAGGTCCTGATGGGAAAAATCTCTCCCGCGTCTTATATATAAAAAAAAAAAAAGGGTTAAAAAAACAGGCTTCATGCATAGTAATAGCATTCATCCATATTCGTACCCGCAAGTCAGAACTATGAATAAAAATGGTCTGTAGTGGTAATAACTGCCGGGTAACAGTAGTGACGGCATCCAGAATGTCAGACTCATCACGTCACGCCACGCTAGCTGCACTCTTTCAGGGCTTTTGCTGGATTATTGCTATTTATTACGGCGAAAAATGGAACCATAATGAGTGCGGGCTGGGAAGGCTATAAGGGAAAAAGTCATGCTTGAAAATGTCAACTAAACAGCTCCTGATTGTTTTCAAGTACTCCCTGTTCTGAAGCACAAGCAATTTGGCCTGCCACCGACTGGCCCGAGCGCTGGGCTGCCATGTCTGAAGATGATGGCTAGCGCACAGGTGCTTGCATGCTTAAAAGAGGGGAGCGATTCAACAAATTTGTATGTGCGCGTCTGCGAAATACTACAGCGGCCTTTTCATTGTAGGTACGAATCATGCATAATTGAAAGCCGCCCGCTTCTAGAAGTGCCTTTATTGAACTGGCTCATTGGTTTAAACTCATATAATCATTATTATGTCCCTATTTTTATTTATTTATTTTTTTTGTGGCAGAAGCAATTATGCAATGTGGTCGTGGATGTGAAGTTGATCGACTTGAAGGACTGTTTGCCAGAGGGCTTCACTCCGATCCAAGACACCACGGATACCCGTAAGCACAGTTCCCGTCTTTTTTTGCTTTCATCCTCTCTTTTTCTCTCTCTCCTCTCTGTAGTCATCCTGAGGGAGTGCTTCTCCAGAGGTTGTGAATGTGAATGTTTCATGGGCTCAGGTTTAGCTTAATTTATGATAGTGCGAGAGAGTAAAATAAACATTTTGCCGCGGAGGTATGAGGAGAGGAGAACGATGAGTCATTGTTTATCTCTGCCAGAACCCAGCTTTTCTTTATGATGTGCTTATTTATTTATGTATTTATTTGTGCAGAGCGGGAGTGGATGGTGATTATCTAATATTAATGAAATGCATTCCCTTGATGCTTTAGTGCTTTTTGAGTGCTATGTATTTCTCCCCTTCTCGTCTTCTCTCTTCTCCTCTCACCGCGCCTTTGAGAACGCCGCAATATTATTTTGGCATTGGGAGTGAGGGCAGCATGTTTATTATTTTCATTATTATTGCATTTACACGGCCCTCGCCCCAGTGCCGCCTCGAAACGAATGGGATGGGCTCAGGAGTAATATGGCCGAGTCTGGTAGCGGGTTCTGGAGGAATGACTAAAAAGAAAACGGAGTCTCATTGGGCGCTGGTTTTAATGTGCCGCTTTATTGTAGCAAAGCCATGTTTAATAGATGCCTCAGCCACTGTATTGCCATTTCACTCTCAGTCAAGTCCCTTATATCCTTCTTACACACATATTTGATGCTGAAGATTCCCCTCTAGCACCCAATGACATTTTTATGCAATTATGATGGGCTTTCATATACTTATATGTGCCTTGAGCCTCAAAACATCACATAGGTTGCATTTATGTGGTGTTCAAATATTAATGCACACATATATTTAGCTTGTCTCTCTGAATAAATTGTTAGGAAATAGGTAGTTTTTGTACGTATATTGTTGTGTCATTGTTTATAAGGCTTCCCAAGGACAAATAGGTCAGGCGATGTTTTGTGGGGGAATTGATGCATAATGTAGGATTTAGATATGAGTATATGGGACTGTGGCATATAAAAGCAATCTGGTTTAAATGCCGTTAGACTGCTGATAAATGAAAGACATAATTAGGGCTGTTTATGTTATGACTGTTATATCTCTTTCTCTCTCAGAGGAGCAGGCTTTGAGGAAGGAGAGACTGTGTGTGAAGTTGGTCCCCAGGCACAGCGCTGATACGGCTATATGCAATGTGGTTATACAGGGGAAATCAAAGCACAGCCTCACTAATTATACATTTATAGGGTAAGATATCATATCTTTGGTATGACAAGCATGGCATGCTTTTTTTGAGAGTTATGTGTGTGTATTTGATGCAGATGGTTTGGTCACTATTCCCTGTGAGGTTAAAGAAGTACCAAAGTAAATATCCTGGAGCCATGCTTATTATGCTGTCTGAATCGTCATTTTTAAACCGAAGTGGATTGTTCTTCTGGTCTGTGTGTGTGTTTTTTGACCAGCTCCTATTTCCTCTAGTGCACCTCAGTGCCTGCGGCCTGCTACAGGCATTATGTGCGCTTGCTTTACTGGTGCTGCTCTTCTGACAGTGTTTAAAGCCACCCCTTATATGTCTTACAAACATTATACAGTTATAAAAATGATAAAAGTTTGAGGTCAGCAAATGTAAGACCTTTTTTAAATGTATTTAAATACTCTTATGTTGATCAAAGCTTGATTACAAATACAGTAAAATAGTAATATTGTGAAATATTATTACATTTTAAAATAACTTTTCTATTTTAATATATTTTAAAATGTAATTTGTTCCTGTGATTACTCCAGTCTTCATTGTCACATGATCCTTTAGAAATCATTATAATATCAGCCCTCTACGGACACCTTGGCAATTCAATCGCCATTGGCTAGTACATTTTTTTGTTTACTCGCCAGACTGATAAACACTTTTATATCGACCGTGTTAGTTGATCTATACCGGGTGATGGGCGCCGCCATGTTAGTTCGCGCTGAATCCGAGCTGTGGGATTTACAACAGGCAAATTCATCCTCTCCTACTGAAACACGTTAAATTAGGTCTCCGGTAAACTGGGAGAAGAGCTGAGTAAACTTTATAGTTACCTACACAATCTGTATATGATATCAATAAAAACATGTAGTCAGATTATATTTGGTAGGATTATTATTTCCGTTTCCATAGAAATCAGCGTGTATTTTACATAAATTACTATAACTGTATGGTTTTGCTAGTACTTATGTGTATTTAAATGTCTGAAACCTAAAATAAGCATTATATGGTTGAAAACACTGAATATTTGTGATAATATGACAAGCGCTCGCGCTAACCAGAGCGCGAAAGCAGATTTAAATTCAGCAGTTGATGACGTGACGCACTGAACGTTCTAATCACACCGGTGTGATCGTACGCTTCAGGGACCAGCCAAGACTGATCACACCGGTGTGATCGTATCAATTCTCTCTCTCTCTCTCTCTCTGCGTGTGTGTGAAACAAAGCGACGGCGAGTTGTGCGCCTTCACACTAGAGTTTACGGTACGTTAAATACAGGTGCGTTCTGCACATCCATTCAGATGAACTGAAAAACAGCACAGATCGCTTGACGGAGAGTGAAACTCTGAAGCGCTCAGTCAGAGTGTTCTGTGAGTGAAAATATATCTGTGCTACACGTATACTTAACCTCCAACTCACACACTGGCGAGTAAACTCTGAGAATTTATTAGCAATTGGCTAATATTAGACATAATTTAGTCGCCCAGAGTAAGATTTAGTCGCATATGCGAGTGATTTACTCGCAATGTAGAGGGCTGAATATGCTAATTTGATGCTCAGGAAACATTTCTCATTATTATGTACAGTAAGGGTGGGCGATATGACCAAAATCACGATATGAATACATTTATTTCACGGTAACAATATATCACAGTATAGTTATTTTTGCTTGTCATATCAATATCAAAATTTTGGATACAATAGAAATTTCATGATTCTTGTCACCAGTGCAAATATCACAAAAAACGAATAACCTAAAAAAAAAAAACTCACTGAAGACAAGTAAACAGTCATAAAATAAGATTAAATAAGAATAAGCAACTAATTACCAGCAATAGGACAAAAAAAAATACAGTAGAACAAAGAAATAAGAAATGCAAATGCCTAAAAATTCTTCACTGTGTAAATTAAATATATATTTCTCCTTACTAAAGTTATAAAAGTGATTTAGTCAAGAGCAATAGGAGATTTTCTCCCTTTTTGTTGTTTGATTAACATGAGTGACAGACAGCAGGAATATTAGACTGCTGTCACTTTAAGAGCTGCCAATATACTGTTACACATGTTTTCTTTTTCAGCTGTTTGCTTTCACTTAATACCTAAGTTACTGTGTTTACAGGGATTCTTGCAAAGACAAGCATTTTGACACATACAGTGTGTGTATTTAACCATTCAAGGCCTATAAAGCAGCAAAAATAACAGTTCAATACTCCCGCACTCTATGAGCACCGTCTTCATGTGCACGTGCCTCGCTGACAGTGCTCAGAAACAGTCTCTCAGACAGCGCGCACATATAGCGAAATTAGTTCTCTCTCACTGCTGGTTGCATTTCAACGGCTTAAATTAATTTGTTTTTAAACCGCAGTGCTTAATAAAATGTGTACAAATGATAGCACAGCAACGTCACGTGAGCATGTAACCGCGATCGAGAAGATAGTCCAAAATCTCTACCAGTTGACAGATTTCTACCGGTTAATCATGTCTACCGGTATATCGCCCACCCATTGAAAACAGTTGTACTTCTTTATAGTCTTGTGGAAACTGAGATACATTTTTTCATGATTATTTGATGGATAAAAAGAGAAAAATTAATTTATTTGAAAGTCTTTTGTAACATTAGATATGTATTTAGTGTCACTTTTTGATCAATTTGATGTGTCCTTAATTTCTTTTAAAAAGTAAAATAAAGACTTTCAGACAATAGTGTATGCATACATATAATTTTAAATGTTCATGATAATAAAACAAGCTGTTTGCTTGTTGCAACCACAGTGAGCTGAATGGTTTGGGGATTTGGTATCAGCTGGGAAAAGTCATTAAGTCACAGGATACAGTGCACAACACCCCCTCTACCTCTGGTGTTGCCAGGTAAGACCCTTCACCAAGAATATACACATACTATATTCCCTGTTTTAATAGGATATTCCTTAACACAGAAGGAGAAATTGTTCATTGAGTGTTGTCAGATGAGGGATAGTCCAACAATCTGTAAAATTAAGTTTCTGAGTAAGAAGTTGGAAATTTCTCCTTTTCAAGTTCAAGAACAGAATGTAGCATAAGATAACTGAGTGTGTTTCCACTGATAACCTGAAGTTCAGCAGGGAGGGACAAAACAGAAAGTGCTCAAGCAGGAGAGACCGCCGTTAGGAGAGCGCAGTCTGTTGTCTGCTCTGACACACAGTTTGCCCAGCGGCCTCACATACAAACACACAGCCTGGAGGGAAGAAGACAAAGAGGGAGTGTGACTTTGTACCTCATCCAACTCAAACATGTCAATTATTAATGTGCAGGAAGTAGTGGGGTTTTTCCTCTGTAAATAGTAAATAAACAATCACTGCTCCCGTCCTATAGTTGATAGAGCGGAGAGGTTGGTGGGGGTATGCGACTGTGCCAAATGAAAATGCCAGATTTGAGTGTGCCAGAAGGCTTTGAAGGTCCTGGCACTGCAGTTGGGGCAAGTACACATAAAGCTTAGTTGGAGTTTTATTTCTGCAGACTTTACCCACTTTGTATTTCAATGCCTGTACAACAAGTTGCCATTCCAGTGCATTTACCTCAAGACTTTACTGCTTTAGAAGTTATAGATGTTGGTCGGTTAGTCAACAAACATTAGCTTTGTTCCAAAACGTAGTAAACTAACAACCTAACCTCCATGGAACCAAAAGTGACTGATTAGGAACAGTCTACATTGACAGAAACTGAGCAATTGGACTGAACATTCAAGTGATTTCAGTTAGGGCTGCACAATTAATCGAATTTCTAATTGCGATTACAATTATGGATGCCACAATTACGTAATCGTTCAAAGTGGCAATTAATCGTTCTAAGTCCACTTATGTTATTCTGTGTGCTTAAGATATGTTTTTTTCTTTCTAAATGTTATCTTAAGGGCTTTTCCATTGTTTTAGTTTTAGTGTAACATTATAATACCATTCATATTTTATATGTATTTTTATATATATTTTATATACTTTTTTTTATAATTTAAAGAAGAAACCAATCCGATGTATATTTGACATTTGAGGCTTAATACTATAGAAAAGCACTAAAGGTTTTTCAGTTAGAGTGTTTTCAGCTTGTTAATTTTCATATAAAAATACGGCATGCAGTTGCATCAAACAATGGTATAAACATCATTCAATGTAAATTGTGATAATCATAATTAATAATCACAATTACAATTTCAAGGGAATAATCGACAATTATGATTTTTGTCATAATCGTGCAGCCCTAATTTCAGTATAAAGGGTACACCGGAACACGCCCCCTCAGCCGGACTGAGTGGCAAAAGAGCCTGCTGAATGAATGGATTTAATAGGGGAAACTGCGAAAACAAACGATTATCAGTTTAAACTAAAGGTTGTTGGACTGATATAGCGTTCCTTACAACTTACCAAATATCCAGTGGTCCATGGATATTGATGTGCAGCCAGGAATCATGTTTCCTGATGTTTATATGTGGCTGATTTCAACAAATCAGCAAAATTTGCAAATTTGCCTGTGAACGCATTTTGTAAATACAAAATAGGTTGGTCTAAATCCGGGTGATCACTTTATCGATGTTATATATATCGTCATATCGTCCAGCCCAAAAACTTATATAGTTTTTGTCAGTGTTTATTTAAAAACATCCATGCAGGATATAAGATGGTAAATATTTAATTGGTGAGTTGTCAATACGATATGTAACAATACAATATATAGGGTATGATTTTACCGCAAAATTCAACATATTAACATAAAATGATAACTGCAAATTTGTGTTTTTCGCTGCCTGAAGTCCATTTGTTTCTGCGAATTGCAGTGATTCATTTGTTTCTCTTTTCTGTAGCTTTCGGCAGTCTGTAAAAATATACCTTAGATTTCTTGTCAAATCTATTTGTACAGTCAATCGTAAAGCTCTTTCTCGTTTTAGATGTGTTTTGTGGGTTGTCGCAGCATTCATGCTGAAAACCAGTGCTGCCATTTAGTCTTTTTGCCACTCAGTGGGCGGAACCGCCGTCATTTGTAGTAAAATTAACCATAGTTTTACCACAAATAAAACCCAAAACCTATGGTTACTATAGTTAAATCATGGTAACACCAAATTAACCATGGTTTAACCATAGTATTTGTAGTAAAAATGTGGTTATACAAATAGTAATCAGTATGGCAAAAAACACAGTTAATACTCTTTTACTATAGTAAAACCATGGTTAATTTTTATAAGGGTAACAAGCATTAAATATGCTTAATCAATGAAGCATAAATACATAGTGCACAAATATTTAGTATTTTCTCAGGTGTGTTTTTTGCTTTTTATGCTTTTATTCAATTATGAAGGTGCTTTAAAACGAATAATTGTATATTGTATTGTTGCCTAACTGTCCATACTATCATATTTTGTACATGCAACATAGCTATTTTTTTTTTTTATATTTAAAAAATTAGCTGTCAATACAGATGCTGTATTTATTGCATCTGCCATGTTTTCTCACTCACACGTCCCCAACTTGGAAGAAGAAGAAAAAAAGAAATACAGAGTTTCCTAATTATAATGACTTTTGTGCCATTTATGTGCTAAATACTTGTCGTAAATTCAGTCTTTTCAAAATGTCTTGAACGCATTATTATGCATCAGGAGTGATGCCTTACAATGCTGCCTATGTAGTAATCTTGCTAGATTTTGGAGCGGAACAATAGAAAACATCTTTCTACACATTTCAGTGGACAAAACATATTTGTCAGATGTATCGTCAGATGAATAATCAAACACGCCAGTACCAAACTATACAACATTGAACAGACTATCTTTTTCCGTCAGTTTTGTTCACTTCAGATTAAATATGGCGTCGATTCTGAGTTGGGCTTATTCTCACATAAATTCTCCGTGATCATTGGTTGCTTTCATCCCAAGATGAGCATAAGATGTTCCAGTGGGCTCCACTTGGAACATTGTCTGAAGTTTTGCTCTTTGAACTTTTGCGCAAGACCGACCTCTGAAACATACCGTGGTTTCGTGGCTTGAATAAAGCCCTTTGTGCCATGTGTTTTTTGGAAGGGGCAGTTATAGGGGAGAAGTGTTTGATGTCTCTGAGTCATCCTACATCCAGTCCCACACATTCACACACTTCGTCTCACCCTGTTAATTCCTCACTCTTTTGAAGCCACTTTTCAAGTTGGAGAAGAATAAATTGTACCTCCAAGCGAGGATCCGCGCCTCCCCACTCCGATACCTGCTGTGATCACAGACTGTGCACTTTTGTGTTATTATTACATTTCATGCTTCTACGTCTGCGTGAATGTCCAACTGCCATCTGTGAATCTGTGAAAAAAGTTATTGGTTTAAGAGGCATAAGAGGTAACCAATTGTTTTATTGAAGACGTCATTGGACTTTTCCTGTTTTCAAGACTTAAGCATTACGTTAAATTGAATGTATCTGCTACAGAATAACACTTTTCTGATTTTAGTCTATGTTAGTTAGCTGTGAGGTCATTTATATGGTATTGTTCTTCTAAAAGACAAAATACTTCAAAAAGTAATTTAATTTCCATTTAAATGTCCAGAATATCCCACCATTTGTTTGTTATTGTAAACTAAAGCTATTAAAAATAATTTCTGGTCATTTAAATTATAAAACAAAATAAAATGTAAATATTAGATGAAAAATGTTGCATTTGAATCTAGCATGAAAATGCTGAATTAATACTAGTACTACAATTTAAATAAAAATAAATTAAAACTAAATAGAAAACTAAATTAAAACTGAAACTGAAAATATAAAAATAAAAGCTAATGCATGGTAATAAATACTCTATTATACTAATATATAAATTCTGAAATAAGATAAATGATACTAAAAAATTATGATAAAAAAATATGATATAAAAAAATTGATTAAAAAAAAGTTCATCAAATGATTTGATGGGATAGTTAAGATTTGATTTCATTTGTTCAGAATAAAATGTAATATGCTTGACTTTCCCTGTGATATAACACGACCAACTATATTAAAAACCCTCTGGGCCTTTTTGGTCACTTTTGACCGAAAAATTTTACCTTTCAAATGTTTAATGAAAAATCTAAATCAAAATAATAAAATACATTTTGCATACTATAATAACAATAGTATGATAAAATTCTAAATAATAGTTAAAATATTACTGGACAAATATATATTAGATTGATAATTAAAGATAGACTAGAAAAAAAGTTACATTTCAATGCTTAAATCACATATGACTATGAAGGTACCAAGTGTGACCCCCAACAAAGAGGCTCAGAGGGTTAAAGGCAAGATAATATATTGTTAAAAACAAAGGAATAATGGAAAATAAAGCTTTTAGAATAGGGAACCTGCATTGTGTGTCGCATTACAAGGTTTGATGCTGTTCTCGCCTCATTTCACACAAACTCTGCGGTCCCATCAATGTTTTACTGTTTGTATGACTCTTTTAAGATGCCCTCAAATTTAAATGCCTTTTACAGTTATAGGAAAGATGTTTTAAACATAGTCAATAAGGAATAAATGTTTAATGACCCCTTTAACTTTGAATGCTGGTGGTTCTGCAAATAAACCTTTTTGCCTCGGGCTACAAGGACACGAATCACTGTGTGTGCAGACTACTGAGTGTAAAGTTGTTCAAATCTCAGATTCCCTTGCTGCCTGTTTGAAATTTCAACGAATTTTTGTGAAGTATTTATGTAAAAAATAAAAAAAATAAATAACTAAAATTATAGTCTGCAATGTATTTTATTTTTACCAATAGCCTTATGCTTTAGGTGTTATGATTGCACCATACTATATCTGCCATTAAATTACCTGGTGTCAATTATGTGACCCCCATTTCATTCAAACTGGACCTGGTCAATCCAGTTCCCAAACCAT